AAAACTTACGGAAAGTCTCCCAACAGTTTGCTATTACAAAAAAAAAAAAAAAAAAAAGGCAATTTTCCTTGCTAATGCTGAGCTCAAAGATAGAGTTTAGATAGTGCATTTAATACTAAATACGAATTTGCTATGAATCTATGATGCAACTTGCAGCTGTCCTTGAATTTAAAATGAAGATGTGGCCTCCACAAGCTACAGAGCCCAACATATAATATTTTTTCTTCTCATAATTAGATCACCCAGAATTTAAAACTACACCTGTGACTGAGAAGTAGGGGGGTGTTTAAAGATTTTTTTTTAAAATTTTTTAACAACTCATATTTAAAATATAAAGATCTGGGAACTTGATTAAATCCAGTCCTCAGGTGAGCATACATTTCAGCAATACATACAGCAATATCTCAAAATTAGATCAGATCTCTACTTGCATTCTTTCTATCCACCAGCTCAAGCAAAATTCTCAGCAACTCAGATTAAAATACAGTTAGGCAAGTAAAGAAAAAAAAAAGGTATGTTCCCATGCCCAGCTTCCTGCATGCTTAAGCCATTTTACCACTTAATTAGTTAATTTTAGAATTTCTGGTACAATTACAGGTGCTACATTTAAGCCCGTTATGGTATAAATACCAACTACTTCAAATACTTCAAAGAGCTTCCTCTTTCATCATGTTTTATCTTTGGCTGGAAAACAATTACAGTGTTGTTTCCAGGCTTAAAATTGTGGCAGATATTAGGAGTTAAAAATGTTGTGAACCTCATTTCTTTAAAGTCCCTCAACATTTAAAGAACAACATCCTATCCATTTGCCTAGGTTTTACCTGAGGAGGTAAACTATCTTTACTCCATTATTAGAGAAAAATTAATGGTTTATTTGTGCTAAACCTCTCTGCTACACATTATCTACACAAACAGTTCAGTAAGTTTGAGRAGTCTCAGATTAAGACAAGGCCTGGTTCCTTCTCTGCAACTGTCTCATTAACAAAATGAAAATATGGGTTTCATAATATAATTTAATTGTGTTTTTTGCTGACATTTGCAATTAAGATAATTGCATTTAATTTTAGGGAATGTGTTTAGAGAGTTTGATCATAATTCATAAATATAATTATTAAATCTGAAATTCAATGGGAAGTATTTACATCTTTGCAACTGACTCACAAATAGATCATTCTGTTTCAGCTCAAATCATTTTTACATCTTGCGTAATAGAATCATATTTCACTTCTTGGTTCTCCTGTAACGTACACATATAATAGCACATGAAGCCCTTAATTGCCATTCTTTCAGATCTCTTTTCAAAATTTATCTCTACTAAAATGCCTAAAATAAGAGATTATCAGTAAAGATTGATAGTTCTTTCTTTTAGTTCAATGTTTAGTTCAATGTTCTTTCTCCTTTAACTATGGTTTGCTTGTCAGTTGTCTTWAAGTAATCAGGTTTTATTATCACACTGACTATAGCAATAATTGTCATGTATAAGCTGGAGCTCAGCTAGCAAATACATGGGAGGCTTCCGAAAACACAAGCCACCACCAAAACCCAAAAAGCTAAGTCATTCTTAGCTAATTGTTTTAAGCAATTGACTTAATAAGACTATGGACGCTCAAAAGATGAACAAAAAAAAGCAAAAACCAGTTTCTTTGTGTTTCTTGTGAAATTGGTTTACAACTGCATAGGAATCTGAACCTGTTCCAACTGCACTGAGGATTCCCCACAGCCTAGTTCACTGTAAATCTTAGCTGTAATACTTCGAGCAGTAGCATTTCCATCTGCCTTCTGGGAAAAAAAAAAATCTTCCAATAAGCGGAATTCCTCTTTCCGAAGGAGGAATTGCTGCTCAGGAGACCTTTAATTAACAAAAGGGAAAAGACTTCGTATCAACTTTGATCGTATCATGCAGAAAGGTGAACAAAAAACAGGCGAGACAATACAGTGGAGGTAAAAAGTATATGAGAACAAAGGAGATCAACATCTAAGCAAAATTGCTGAGATACACATACAAAACTGACATTTTTTCAGCCCATGCATGATAACTTCAATTATATCACTGAGTATTTTCAAACTTGTGGGCACATGGTATAAACTAGTCCGATTTACCTAATTATGAATCCTGAAAGGCTACCTAAACCATACTTTCAAAGTGAATTAAGGTAAATCAGATCAGTGTCACTCCAATTCTGAATGAGTGTGCCCACAAATCAAATCACTGCAGTCCAATCGATCCTTTTGAAAGGCTGGTTTGGATATCTGAATATCCCCGGAGCGAAACTTGGTCATTTTAAATATGGAACCTAAGTACTACCGTGATTGTCTTGGCAGGCAATGACCTTGGAAATCTACTCCACAGAGTTAAGTCCTAAAGTGAGGCCTATAGCTCTGATACTGTGATACTAAGGGGTTGCTGACAATAAAACCCACTTTTTAAACTATCGTTCTTCCAGCTGGGTTCAAAAGAACATTAAAATCCTGTTTGACAGTTGCCCCTCTTAGGGCACCTAKTAAACCCAGAGATGTTTTTCAGTGACCCACAAGTGCCCCTTCAATATAAAAAAGCCTTTTATTAAAATGCAGTCATTTAGGTTCCAGACTAACAGGAGACAAACAAAGATTACAGCCATGGTCAGGCTGGCAGCATCTCTCCCTCTGTGGATCATGAGCTTGAGGGAACAGGTGAGTCCTGCAGTTCATCYGCTCTGTCACCTAATTTGACTCTGACAAACCCAGAAAGAAATGTCAGTAAACAGGGAAAGTCTATGAATGGCTCCAGAAACAACATCTTGTTTTTATATAGTTTCCTTTGAGTCGTTAACAGTCAGGCGCCACTACTACTGAAAGTTATCATTATTACAACCACAAACAGGCTTAGTGTCCAAAAAGATTCCCTTAGCTGGTTTAAGAAAATAACAGCCTAATCCATTGAGGACAAAAAGTACAAGAGAAAAATCCCCAAAAGAATGAGAAATAGAAATGTTAGAATGTAGTATTTAAAACTGGACTCTTGTAAATGAGTGCTCCAAATGTTAATCACAGAGAGTTTTATAGAGTCCAAGCAACAAAATGAACAGTGGACAACCTGTGGAAGGCTCCTACTAGCCCGGCTTACCAGCAGTTTAGGAGAAGAAAAGCTTTTACATTTGGCTTCTCAACAGCAGCAAAGCTGCCTGACTGATGGCAAAGGATTGTGTTTACTGCTTGTGCAAATAGAGATTTGATGTTAGTTTTAGCAGTCCTGGAACTATATTCTGAAATCTAATGATCACAAGGGGTCTATCAAACTTAGTGTCTCCTCTCCAACAGCAGCTAGTACCAGATACTTCATCCTGAAGCGCCAGAAACCCTAAAGCCAGCAGTTATGGAAGAAACTTCACATAAAGTAAAAYGTTTTCCAAATCCCCATCACTCAGATAACTGGCTTGCCTGTGAGGCAGGATACTTCTTGTTCCTCTAGACTCAGTGCTTTTTTTTTTTTTTCCTTCCCCAAATGGTTCAATTTGTAACAACATAATCCTGTAGGTTTTTTTTTTTTTCATTCTGTAGAAAGTAGTAGAAAGTATCTACTTACTTTCTAAAGTCTGCTGAATTTCTGGCCTCAAAAATACCTTGTGCCAATGCATTCCACAATATTATTGTATCTGGCATCAGAAAGTTAGCTTTTCTTTAATTTTATAGCCTTTAAAAACACAAAACTTTCTGCATTATAAAAGCTTAACAAATATGCTGTTCCAAACTAGCTTCACTATAGCATACATCATTTATAATATATAACATTATAACTTTATATGTTATACCTATCTTCATAACTTTTTTTTTTTAATTATATTGGAGTACTTCATTATCTAATTGCTTTCTAAATTTGTATCACTACCTATCTTTARAATATTTCTACTTAGGCCATATCTTTGTAAAGATAGCACAAAGATAGCAGAGTGGTCCAGGCAAGACTTTGGGGGATTAAAAAAATAAAATAAAAAAAAGTATATTTGTGACATCTCGTTTGCTGTTTTTAGCTCTGGTCATCCTGTGAGTATAAATTAAAGCCGAGGTGCTGTTTCCTTGAGTGCACTAAAGGCAGGTTACATCCATGCAAAAGCGGTTTATTTCATTTCTGTCAGTAAAAACAGGGACCTTGGTCCTTCCCATTTCCACTCCTAGGATTGCATCCTGAGCTGGGCTTTCTTAACAGGGCTGCAGGAATCTGCATTCCCTTGGGAACTTGGGCCCCGTCAGCCTCGAGGGAAGGCCACCGACCCGGCTGCCTCCAGCTCTGAGGCTTCGCTCATTCCCAGGAGCCCAYGCCATTCCCAGCAAGCAGGAATAAGCCGCAGCTCGGGACACCCTGCGGATTTCGGAGCTGCCGGCCCTGGTCAGTCCCTGCTCTCCAGGGCTCGGTTGCCCCCCAAGGTCCCTTATTATTCTGCACAACTTCTCATTTCCCTGCAGAAGAGGCTCTTTCACTCACAGCTTTTGTTCCAAAGTTTCCAACGCCTCTGTGGCAYTAGTCACCTTTTGATTTTCAACCTAAATTTACCCAGAAGGAGTATTTATACATTTTTCCTTTTGACATTGGGGCTCTTTGGCTTCCCCAATTCTTTCTTTTTCCACTGYACATCCCATCTCCCTACAGTGCCAGGTCACCCACGGCCAGGCTGCCATTTCGTCCTACGGCCAGGCCGCCATGCTGCTGCACGGYCAGACCATCATGTCGCCTCGCCGGGGACCCTCCCCACGAGGTCCCTCCCGCCTCCCCACGCTTGCTCGAGGCGCCGATCTCCATGCGGRGCCACCGAGCCACGGGCGAGCTGTGGCCACGCTGTGCTCATCACCCGCACGGGCCACTTTCGGCCCGGAACCTTCGTGGCGCGGGCGCGTGTTGCCAGCCGGCGCGAGCGGTCGGGCATTGCGCAGCGTCGGGCGCCTTGGAAACGGCCGGAAGGCGGGAGGGCAACAACGGCAACGGCAACAACGGCAACGGCAACGGCAGGGAGGAGAGGAGGAGGATGCTGAGGATGCTGAGCGCCGAGCGGCTCTCGCTGCCGGGGCCCGAGTACCTGGGTGAGGAGCGGGGCGGCCCCGGGGCGGCGCGGCTGCGGCCCCGTGTCCGCCTGCGCGGGGAGCGGCCCGGGGCTCCGCTCCGTTAGCGGCGCGGCCCCCGGCAGCGGCGCCCCGCGGGGCCGTTTCCTTTGTAAAGCGGCTCTGGCGCCGTTTGTGTTGCCGCCTGGTGCGGAGTGAGGGGCCGAGGGTGTTGTGCTTTGTCTGTTAACTGAAAACAGCCATGGTGGGGAGAAAAATCAATATCTCTTAATGTGGTTGCTAAAGACAGGAGGGATTACAAGGAATAAGCGTTTGGAGCGTGCTCAAGACAATGGTATTTAAACTGAAACTCTTCAGCTGTAACCTCCTAGGACCAGCAGGCWGTTTGGAAATTAGTTTTATAAATATATACCCAAATCACTGTGGCTTTTTCGTTCCCCCACAATAAAAGAATTAGTTTGGGTTGGCCGCTTGTTCTGCCATCGTTTTGCCCTCACCGGTGGGCCAAAAGGGAGCAAGTGCAGCGCAGCGGTGCTGGCTTCCCGGACACGTAAGACCTGCCTTGCAAGGGGGAGGCTGGAGGGCTCGGCCTGGGGGGCCTGGCAGGGCTGTGAGCGGGCAGTGCTGCAAGTGCCTTTGCCAAGCGGCTTCTTGTCAGCTACCGTGATGGTGGGAGAAGATGTGTTCAGGCAAATGAGTAGGCTGRTTCCTCTTGTAGCGTAATCTCCCTGTGCTCTTGCTGCGAGACTGCTGTTCTGCTACTGTGTGCTTGCCTGCCTAGCTGCAATGCTATTCGGCATTAAAGAAACTCAAGCTGGAGCGAAGAGTTTATCTGGTGCTCTGTGCAGGGTGATTAGTGCCCCTGCGTGAGCCGGGATGTTGGACTGGATGATCTCCTCGAGCCGGGATGTTGGACTAGATCATCTCCAGAGGTGCCTTCCAACCCTTAACCGCTCTATGATTATTCCAGGAGACTCACTCTGCTGAAGCTCTTCTTACTGATTTCAGATTTGGAGCTTGTTCAGGTATTTGTGAAGAGCATCGCCGAGTGCTGTGCAGATACACCCTTGGATTTTGTGCTGCCCTATCGCACTACGTCAGCATTTTCAACCTACGCTTTAATAGAGAGATTCATAACTATTTTRCAGAGTTGCTCTAGGCTGAAACTTGCAAAATTTCTTTTTTTTTTAATGAGCCAACTTGATTTTAGGTTCATTAAATTGTTTTTAATGAAATAAGTCACTTAGCATTTACTTGTGGGAAACTTGTCAGTAAAGATTAAATCACCCAAAACAATCTAGGAAGAATTCTTAAAATGTAAGACTAAATAACCAGTTTTTGTTTTATTTAAACCTGAAACTGAGAAATGAGGCTTGTAAGAGATGTGCAAGGCTGCTAGGTACAGGCAGCGATAATAAMCTCCTTAAACCGGGTATCCTTTTATCTCTGTTCTGCGTGCTGCTCTGCCGTTCCCTTTTCATTTTCCTAAAACCTTCTAAATCATTCTGGCATTGGGATCAGAAAAAGACATATATACATGTCAGGTTGAGCAATAACTTGTGTAAGAGCATGTTCTGTTGATCACATAATATGTTCTTCTGTTTAAGTTGCAATATTCATTGTTTAGCAGAGGAAAAACRCCCACTTCCTTAGCTGTAAATGTCACCAAGAATATATATTTTTTTTTCTTTATGAGACTTTGTAACTTAACATTCTACTCACAGATTCTACGGATTGAAAGCAAAGATTTTATTAGCAGAAAAGAAGTTAGAAAAAAAAAAAGAAAAGAAAAACCAGAGTGCTTTCATAACATCTTTTAATGTGTTCTTTACTTGACTTGGCTTWCTGAAATGGCCATTCTTTGGATTAAGTGAGAATCCTTCTCCATTTGTCCTATTGTGTGGCTCAATGTCATGYTAGCACTGTTGTCTGATGTGGGATTGTAAGCAATTGTGATAAACAAGTTTCACTTTCTGTGCTTTCACTCTGAAGTTGTGTTGCCCCAGGCTGCTGCATAATGAGCCTTTGAGTCTTCCAAATCAACTGGCACTCGCTTTCCTCATGTGGGATGGGCACACTTCTCTTGATCTGTTTCTCCTTTTCCCTTTTTAAAACCAAAAATGGTCTCACAAATAAAATGAGTGGCCAAAATAACATTACGTGCCACTTACTGTGTTATGTTTTTTTCCTATTTGAGATCTTCCATTTCCAATTTGGTTGCTAAGAGCAATATGTGTTTAAAACGCCTTCTAAGGCAAATAAAAACGGTTGTGAGTTAAAATAGAAAGGAGCAAGGACAAACAAATCAAGCATTCGGTGAAGATGACAAATAGCTGCAAATTTTTGGTATAAYAGGTTTCCTGGAAAACAAAAAACGCGATGACACATTTAATACCAAAATGGTTGTGAGACAGTAGGAAGGAGAACAGAGATGACTCGGTGATGGGAAAAGTGATGGGGTCCACCCATGTTGGAGGTGGAGGAGAGGCAGAAAGGCCACTTTGAAGGAGTTGTAACAGCTGGGATATTTTAAAGAACATTTTCACTGAATAGACAACATCTCATGTTTGAAGTTGGGGATAGTGATGAAAATGTGTTTCACATTTGATGGATGAGACTGGAACTGCAGTAGGCAAAATGAAGTCTATTTGAGTCATTCTTGTCCATGCCTTCCTCATTACGGTTTAATAACTGGTGATTGCTCAGTTATTTATAGCAGGCAATGAAGCTCTTAAAAGTCAGTTGCACAAGTAGAACAATAAAAACTTCGAATTGTAGATTTTTTTCCCCCTTTCCTGTTACACAGAAAATTTAGTAGTTTGTTGAAGAAATCTAAAGTTCTTTTTCTTCTTCTGGTTTTTCTCTCTCTCCACCCGCAAATCCAGGATGTGCTTTCTTTTCTTCCTGTGCCAATGCAAGGCATGTAAGAACACAAATATTCTGGTAGGAAAATGCCTTATCTGTAAAGCATGGGTCTGTTAAGTGCCAGAAACAAGGTCCTGTTTCCTCATCTTTCTCATAAGAGGTCCCAGGAGTAATGAGCATGAAGAACATTTGTTGTAGTGGYTTGCTTATACGATCAAAAATAGCTCTCAAAAGAGAACTTCAGTTGTGCAGAGACTTCACAGACAGCTACAGTTTGCTTTTCTTCTGAACAGTACTAAGAAATACTGAGTTGGAAGCTGAATTGTTTTCTGTAACGGAAATAAACAATGTATGTGCTACATTAGTAGCACGTCTGAATTCAGATGAGATAGCTCAACAATTTTGCAATACACGTAGTCCAAAATAAGATATTTGCATTTCATAGCAGTTGGCCATTATAGTCATATTTGTGTGTTGTAAATCCAGTGTTAATGACAATGCATGCAGTTGTTCTGTTCTCTGTTAAAGTAAAAATCATTCCTTGGAGAAGTAAGCTCAGGTCAATAGGCACATACTCAAGGGGCACTGTGATAAGGTATGTTTTAGATTTCTGCTCTGTGGCTAGGATCTCGAGCAATTCTGTGTTAAAGCATTTTTACTTGTCTGTTTGCTTTATTAGATTACTCCTTAAATTATTTATTTTTGATATAGCAGTTATGATACTATTTAATGTGTGCCTCTTTACATTCCAAACTATGCCACTTTGCCACATAATAGAAGGGGAAAAATCCCACCTGCTGCTTTGCTTTGATGACTYTTGTTAATAATGCACACACTTAAGATACCAAATATGAAGTATATAAAGGCCTGTGAAAGTTGATAGCTACAATCAAAGCTGATATGCTGATAGGCATGTGTTTTCTGAACATTTTAAGACCTCCTTCTTATAGGATTCTGCTGACTTGCCTTACAACACCAAGCTGTAGGCTCCTACATCTTCTATACTTTTGAGCAAACCCCACCAATCTTAGCAAGCAAGGTAGTGGGGATCTCCTTCCCTCCTTCCCTCCTTCCCTCCTTCCCTCCTTCCCTCCTTCCCTCCTTCCCTCCTTCCCTCCTTCCCTCCTTCCCTCCTTCCCTCCTTCNTTCCCTCCTTCCCTCCTTCCCTCCTTCCCTCCTTCCCTCCTTCCCTCCTTCCCTCCTTCCCTCCTTCCCTCCTTCCCTCCTTCCCTCCTTCCCTCATCAGTATCTAGGCAAAGATGATCAAAAATTTGAGAGAAATATTTGGGATTATGTAAATTATATCCTTCCCTTTTCAAGTTATTCCTCTGAGAGACTTAGAAGTAGGTGGTTTTGATGCTACTGACTGCTTCTAAAGGGAGCTGGACAACGTTAATGGTATTTTGAAGTAGCTGGAAATGGAAAACTTGTGGTTTCTAGCAGCTGTGCTAMATCTTGTAGGAGGTGGCCTGCTTGGGAGGAGGAGGGTAGGCTTGGACAATAAAATCAGAGTGTGTCCAGTCTTCGGATATTAGGTGTACAAACTGAAATAGGTGTCATGGTCTGTGATTACTATGTTGATTGACTGTTCAAAGCAAGAATGTTTAATTTTGCTTAAAATTAAATTCTAAATTGAAACGTTCCGTTTTTGATTTTTTTTTTTGTTGTTTTTGTTGGAAATGGTTTCCAAGTTGTAAGCGTACAMAATACTTTCTAGTTGGGTTGTATGGCCATTTAGCCTGAGTTCCTGAGTATGACCATATCTGACATTGCAGCATTATCTCTGGAATGGGAATGACCAGCTCTACTTGTGCTTTGTTATATGTTCTGTCCCTAAAAAAAAAAAAAAAAAAAGAAGGTTTATAGAAAATCAGGCTGTCAAGTCTTGCAAAGCCAGAAGGAACTGCAGCCGTGGAACGATTTGGGTTTGGGTTTGATTGTTTTGTTTTGTTACATCTCTTGTTCAGTCTGTTCCCTAGTGGTATCTGAAGTGATTAGAAAGATCATCTTGAAATTCAATTAATGCTGGAAAAAACATCCAGAGTGCACAGGATTCTGTTCTTGCAGGTTGTATCCTTGCCACTTCCTCTCACTTTTTTTTTTATTTGTTTGCTCTTTTTTTTTTTTTTTTTTTTTTTTGTAATGATTGCATGAAA